CTATAAATATAAAATGATATAACATGTATACAGCACTAACAGTTAACATTCAAAACTTATTCAATAATTACTATATTTTATGTAATTTTTTATGTCATTTTTTAGTTTGCATGAAAATTTCCAATACAGCAGAGTGGACTTTAAATATATTATGCAATGTATATCAAATATGTGGATTTAGAGACTATTCCTAATAACAACTTACGTCCATCTTAAGTGTTTAAACAATATTCCCTCCTTTGTTAAAAAGATTTACAGATTCACTCCTTTATTAAAAAGATTTACAGGTTGTATAATGGAGTGACTGTGTCACTGGAGAATGAATACTCAACAATATCCAATATGTATCTGAACAACTTCAGTGGGACTAGTACTGCTGTTTTAATGGATAGCATTTATAGTGTCCTCATGTGTTATGCAAGTTATTTTCTGTGCGTTAGGTAGTTTTCTATTAATGTTTCAGTAACCCAACTATTGCAGTAACAACATGATCCAGTGTGGGTTTAGACAGGCTATTTAAGCTCTTTCTCTTCATGAGATTAGCAATGTGGTTAAAAATATACAAATAATTAAAATATACATTTAAAAAAGCAGCTCGATCAAAACTCCAACTGGACTTTTGCCAAATAACAATGTTTTTACTTCAGATGACAGATCAACTTACATAACCCTGTACGGATCTCAATGGTGGGCAAATATTTCATAGGAATATTTCATAGGAATTGCCATCATGATTCTTGAATAAACCCCAAATATGACTGGTTCTCTCAAAATCTAAGAAGGCACTAAAAGCTGGAGCAAAAGTTATAGTCATGGCCTAGGAAAGAACATTTCCAACCACTTTTTATTTCAAGTATTAGCTGCTGCAGATTCCTGTTGGATGTTAACAATGATAGGCACACGCCTTCCAAAGAGCTGCTTGGTGGGCCCTCTTCTTTCTCCATAATATTGACCTAAGAGATTTTGGAATTGTTAAGAACAAATTTCAAACTACAGGATCTAATCAAGAAGACTACTTACAGACCAACAAAAGTCTAAAACATGCACACTTAGCTAAGGTTTATCAAGAGAATTGGATCAGAGAAATCAATAAAGCTGTAACAGAAAAATTTATATAAGATGTCACTTGACCAACTTTCACGTACCAATTTGTTGTGAACCCACACTCTCCATTTCCTCTGCACTTCACTGACAGATGCTGATAGCAGACTGAAAACTCACAATCCACAGACTGCTTTCTCATTTACCCCTCACAGTTCCGCTTCCAAATGCTGAGTAGTATGTTCTCTCAGAATTAGTAGCAAGTATTTCAAAACCTCATTAGGGGAATTTTATTCTTACTATAATTAATTTTATTAAATGTTAGCCAAACCTTGAAAACAAAAATAAAAGGCATTATATCTTTAAAAACTAAGGAGAGGGCCTCCCTGGTGGCACAGCGGTTGAGCACTGGGTTGCGAAGCTGCCCGCAGCCTCTGCAGCGCCGGTTTGATCCCCAGCTGCTCCCCAGCTACCGGAGGAGGGTCCCACATGGCGCGCAGACCTCTCCTGCCGCCGGCTGCTCCCCTCAGCAGTGTACTTTGGTCCTTCTGCCTGCTCTGCTCCCCGCTCTGGCTCTGGTGAATTCTCTCACCCTCCCGCGCTTCTGACTCTACCCAGTGCTTGTATAAATAAATAAACAAATCTTTAAAAAAATAAAAAATAAAAAAATAAAGAGAAAATCTTTAAAAATACTTGATAAAGACCTTCCCGGTGGCACAAGGGTTAAAGTCTTGGTGCTATCAAGCTATCACCAGCCACTGTGGCATGAGTTCAATCCCAGACAAGGGAGTTAACCCACATGGCCCAGCAGGCCTCTCCTGTCTCAGCTGCTGCTCCCTCAGTAGTGTATTTCAATAGATTCACCAGTTCTGCTCCCCACTCTGTCTCTGGTGAATCCTCTTACCTCCTGTACTTCTGGTCTACACCTCAGTTCTTGTATGCATAAGTAAAAAAAATTCTTAAAAAAAAGACTTGATAAGGGCAAGTCAATACAAAACACTATTGTTGAAACAGGCAAAGATGAGAAAAATACAAAAATTGGAAAGTCATAAAATATAGAATATAGGTTCAACTATGGAATCCTTGTTAAAACATAGATTGCTGTATCCCACCCCAGGTTTCTCAGTCAGCAGGTATGGGATGAAACCAAAGAAAATTGCATAAGAAATTGCCAAGACACTTTGAGAACCTTTCTTTTCAACAGTTAAAACTTTTTTTTTTAATAAAGATTTATTTATTTATTTATACAAGCATTGGGTACAGTCAGAGGCGCGGGAGGGTGAGAGAATTCACCAGAGCCAGAGCAGGGAGCAGAACAGGCAGAGTGATGAAATACACTGCTGAGGGGAGCAGTGGGCGGCAGGCAGGAGAGGTCTGCGTGCCATGTGGGACCGTAGCCAGGCGGCCAGGGATCCAACCAGCGCTACAGAGGTTGCGGGCAGCTTTGCAACCCAGTGTTCAACCGCTGTGCCACCGGGGAGGCCCAACAGTTAAAACTTTTAACTACATTAAAGAAACAAAGTATAAAGTGGAAATGATTTGTTATTAATGTAGATTTAAGAAAGACTTGGAGTTCCAGTCAGCAAATTTATACTACAAAGAAAGGTCTACATTCTAATCAAAAGAGAGTCCATTTATATTTTTTAGCTAAAATGATAGGCGATGTACATATCACTTTCTATGTCCCACTGTTTTTTTTAATTAAAAAAAAGATAAGAATCAAACTTAAAAGAAGAGATCGACTGTCAAATATGGGCTAGCAAAGTTCCACAGGAGTTGAAAATCCCTTTACCTTCATTATTTGGAAAAGAGAAATGATAATATCTTAGTCTCCTTGGTTAAAAGATTTCCTAAAAACACAAGCTCACAATATCAATGAACCTTTAAATAAAAGATTAGTACCATTATCTTCAATTTACAAATGAGATTTCATACTTGAACAGGATAAAAAACATATGTAAAGATAAATCAGTCAACAATGGAAGAGGTAAGACTTGAATACAGATCTCTTCTCAAATTTAATGTTTCTTTCCCTCCTCCCCAATCTCACTACAATCCTTCAATGACTCAAAGACAGGTTAGATATTTCTAATTATAGGCCCAAACTTAGGTAGCTGTGAGAAAAAGCTCGACAATAAGCATTGTATCTGTTGTCTTGAATATAACTATAATAATCATGTATAAATAAGCTGCACTTGCCATTATTGGCCTGCCAACACTGAAGCAAAATTTTTGGCAACACAACTCCACTAAGTCAAGAAATATGTAGAGAATGGATGAGAAAGATGTACAAGCAGATATAGCAGGTTAAGTGAAATGGAGATTACTGTGAAAGAGGCATATTAGGTTTAGAATGAAGTAATGCAACCCAAGAGATAGCATTTTAGGACTGCTTAGAAAAAGAAGATGAGCCAGCCCAGAGACCACAATCTCTATTATGATGATGCCATTAAAGAAAATTTATTATTTTAAAAACTAGAATTAGAGACAAAAGATAACTTACCTCTGCCTTATAAAATAGTGGTGTGTTCATGTAGTATAATATGAATTCCAGGAATAAAGAGGTCCTTATTTGTTAAACTATGAAGGAATTCTAACTATGAATATATAAATCCAGTCTTATATATTAAATCCAGTGTTTAAAACACTAGCCCTAACTGGTGTTTTGAGTTTCAGCACACAGTGTGAGATCTGCAATAATTTTAATATTGAAAATATTAAATAACTATTCTACTTCTTTGGAAAGTGAATAAGGAGAAAGTAAAGATCTAACATGTTAGTAGTAGCTTTACAACCTAGACATGATTAGGAAAACTACTATTAAAAAAGCAGGGGGCAGGGGCAGGATGTAAAAAAAATGGAACCCTTGTGCACTGTTGGTGGGAATGTAAAATGGTGCAGCTTTTCTTAAAAGCAGTGTGGAAGTTCCTCAAAAAACTAAAAATAAGAGTTAACATATGACTCAGCAATCCCACTTTAGGGTATATATCCAAAAGGATAGAAAACAGGATCTCAAAGACATATTTGTACATCAGGGTTTACTGCAGTACTGTTTACACAGGCCAAAAGGTGAAAGCTACCCAAATACCCATCAATGGATGAATGGATAAATATGGTATCCACATACAATGGAATATTATTCAATATCAAAAAAGAAAAAGATCTTTTCATATGCTAAAATGTGAATAAGCTTTGTGGACACAGCGCTAAGCAAAAGAAGATATTTACAGGTGAATAAATATGGCATGATTCCACTTATGTGATATCTGAAGTAGTCTAATTCCAGAAAGTGGAGTAATGGTTGCGGGTAAACAGGAGTGTTATTCTTAAATGGGTACAGAGTTTCAGTTTTGTAAGTTGAAAAAGTTCTACAAATCGGGGGCACATGAATTTACTTATAGCTAACATTATTGCACTGTACATTTAAAAATGGTTAATATGGTTTTTAAAAAAACTAGGAATGGAAATATCTTGAAAACTTCGGTAAAGTGGTTCAATATAACTTTTGCTTAAGAAAACAAAATCGGGCCTCCCCAGTGGCAAAGCAGGTTGAGCGCTGCACTGTGAAGCTGTCCGCAGCCTCTGCAGCGCAGGTTTGATTCTGGCCACCAGGGAGATTACCACATGGAGCGGCAGACCTCTCCTGCCTCGCCCACTGCTCCCCTCAGTAGTGACTTCGGTCCATCTGCCTTTTCTGCTCCCTGCTGTCTCTGGTGAAACCTTTCACCCTCTTGCGACTGTGGCCTGTACCCTAGCTCTTGTATAAAAATAAAAAAATCTTAAAAAAAACAACAAAATCCCACAAGTGTAAAATCAATTATAATCACTGTAATCTCTTAATAACACTGATTTTTATAAAAATCTAGGCATCTATGATTTAAACATGCTTTTTATAATGGAAAAGAGGTATGCCATATCAGAATTACTTGGAGTTCTTTTACAATATTACTTATTCTCACCCAAAGAGATGCTCCCAGTTGAGTGAGCCATCATTATTGATGCAACTGTGCTATATTCTTCAACAGTGCTGGGACTGAAAACAGATTGAGAATTTCATTTTTTAATGATAGTTTAAGTTTGCAATAAGAAAATTCAGTTTAATCACTTTTCCTATAACAAGGAAGTTACAGATACTTCTTGATATAATTAAGTATTCTTCATACCATAAAATGAATATGGGGTTTATTTTCTGAAGGCATAGGTAATACATTATGTAGCAGCGCTAAACTGCACTACACAATCCTTGTTATAAGATAGGATCTCCAACATACTGGGTAGATGGAGACAGAACCAACAATATATAAAACTGCCAAAGAGAAATACCTCTGAAGACTTCTGAAATATTCTACCCAGAACATTTCTCTTTTGACAATCTTAACTCATGTGCATTTATCTCCAGAAGCCTTTTCTTCCTTGATGTCTATTCTCCAAAGCCCTTTGTTCATCTTTTCCACATAAAGAGACAACTAAATTTTTTGCACCCAAATTTCATAAACAACATTAAAGATATATCTCAATTCCATATATTGCTGTTTCATATCCAGGGAAACAAAGTCATAAGTTAAGAACCAAGAGCTAATGGAATCTTTTCAAACTTACTCCACTTTAGTGCGTTTTTCTTATTGCATATTCTAAAAATCTTTTGATAATAAGAGTTTGGTAGTAATATAAAATTTAGTTCCTAAGCAAATCCATGAATCAATACATCTTACTGGTAACATTTTCTTAAAGATTACATAAAGACATTATCATGGAAATTACAGATTATAATCTCTTCTATAAGGGAATACTTAAGTTCTCTAATATCTTCAGTTTCTGAATTTTTGCCTTCTTTTGTATTAAACAGATATTTTATCATGCACATTTGTAATCACCTTGTTTCTTTCACTGTAATGTTTGTGTTATTTTCATAGTGGTTGTCCTGGAAATTACAATTAGCATTTAAATTTAAAACATGCTAGTCTGGATTAATACTAACTTAATTTCAATAAAAAGTAAAAACTTTCCTCCCTTCTTTTATATTATTGCTTAACAAACTACATCTTTATAAAAGCCCAAAACATGTTTTTGTTTTTTGTAGTTGTTTTTTAAAACAGGAGAAAAAGTTACAAAATTGTATTTATACTTACTTTTATAAGTATGACTTTTACCATTGTTCTTTATTTCTTCATGTGGATTAGAGTTTATCATGTTGTTTCATTCATTTGAAGGACCCCTTACTATTTTCAGTACGGCAAGGCTGCTAGCAATAAATACCCTCAGTCTTTGTTTGTAAATGTCTTAATTTCTCCATCTTTGAAGGACAGTGAAGCTCTAGAATTCCTAGTCGACATTTTTTTAACATTTTGAACATTATCTTCTAGCTTCCAAACTTTCTGATAAGAGGTCAGATATTAATCTTATTGAGGATCCCTTTTATATAACATTATTTTTTCCTTGCTGCTTTCAAGATTTCTCTGTCTTTCACATTTGTAAACTTCACTATGATAGCTCTCAGTATGGATCACTTAGAGTTTATTCTACTTAAAGTGTGCTGAGTTACTTAAATGTGTAGATTATTTTTCAGGTAAGAAGTTTTCACATACTATTTCTGTAAATATTCTTTGTACCCCTTTTTCTCTTCTCCATCTGGAACTCTCATTGTGTTAGTACACTTGATATTGTACCACAGATTTCTTGAGGTTCTCTTCATTTTTTTAATTTTCTGTTCCTCACAATGGATAATCTTTATTGATCTATCTTCAAGTTGACTAATTCTTTCATCTACCAATTTATATCTGCTGATAAGCCCTTCTTAAATTAATTTTTCATTTTAGCTTTTACACTTTTCAATCCAGAATTCTACATGGTTTTTCTATAAACTGTTTATTGAATTTTCTTTGGAGAGCTATAATTCTCATTTGTGCCTTTAATTGTTTAGACACCGTTTCATTTCTTCGAACATACTTATAATAGCTAACTTAAAGTCTTTGTCTATTAAGTCTGAATCTGACTCCCACAGGAACATTTCTCTGTTGGCTGCTTTGTTTGTCTTCTGTGTATATGGCATACTTCCCTGTTTCTTTGCATAATTTTTTATTGAAAAGAACATTTTAGAGAATATATTCCAACGACTCTGGTATCAGAATCCTCCACACCACCCTCCAACAGTTTTTGCTATCATTGGTTATTGTTCTTTCCCTTGGTGCTGCTAGCATTTTCCTGTACTGCTCTATGGATTTTGTATTCCCATAGAGTTCTCTGCTAGATTTTTTTGTGAAGTGCTTGTTTTACCATGAAGCCAGGTATTCTAAGAGTTTCAACTGAGTAAGCATAATTTAGTAGTCAACCAATGGTCAGAAAATTTCTGTAAATGTCTTGCCTAATTGTCTTCAACCCTTTGCCAGAGGAAACTTTGCAATAAGTCATACCTTCAAACTTCAGTTTATAAAACATCTTTCACTTCCTGTTTATACAGCCTCAAGTTTAGTCAGAGGTGATGATCTCCTTTTCTAGGTCTTTCCTGAATAAGAGCACAGCCTTGCATATCATGAAGCTTTATAGATATCTAGGAATATACAGAAGCTTTTCTAAGTTCCCTGTGGTTGGCTTAATGCTCCAGGATTTCCTTTTAAATTCTTAGCCAGGCTTTCTTTGCCCCAACTGAAATCACAGCCTTAAGCAGTGGAGATGTTGCCAACAGCTGCTATTGTTTCAGCTAAGCCCTGGGGGTAGGCTTTTTCTTCCCTCAACTGAGCTGAGCTCTGAATCAAATCAAATAGCCAACCGTTCTCTGAAAATAGAGTTTTCCCAGGGAGCTGCAAGTTTGGACAAAATATTAACTGTACTCTGGGGATAATGCTTTTAATGGATCTCTAAAAGTGGTGAGATCTCTACATTATTTAAAATGCAACCAGCTTTTTAGATATGCCTACCACTATTGCAGGGGAAGGATTGAAGATGGGCATAGCCACAAATTTAAATGTTACAGACTCCACTATCCCAAATTCTAGTAGTTTTCTTTTGGACAGACAATTTTCAGCTCACTTCCTGAGTGGGAGATTGCCAGAAATCTGAAATGGTCAATTGTAGTCGTTTTGCCAAAGTTTTTGTTGTTTTGGAGGTTGAGTACACTGAAATCTCTACTCTACCAATCTGGAAGCCAATTAAGTTCTGTAATGTTTTTAAGCTAACTCCATTCAATTTTTAAGAAAAAAAAATATTTGGTTTTAAAAGTTAAACTTATAAATATTTAGGTCACTGATACTTAAATCTACTAGAAACTTAGGAAAAAACACGTAGCACAAAATGTAGTTAAATAAGAGAGAAACTGATTTGTGAGAGGGAAAAATAAAACTACATGAGCAATGTCACCATATTATATATTTGCTACTAACATGTGAATGATGACAAATAAAAGTTCTTGTCTTTCATTCAAAAGACCTCCCAGTCTTTTCTGGACAACAGAAACAAGTTCAAGTGAGGAAGAAAGCAATTTCATCTTGTCTTAGTTGGCTGATCTAGGCCAAATCCAATTCAACTCTGACAGGGATAAAGAGTCACAGAAGACTAGGAGTGAGAAATTCAACAGAGAAGAGCAATCAAAGAGACCTGAACATAGGAAGCAATCCTATCTCCTGAGATTTGTCTGAAGAGAATCGGTACAAAGAGATTGCCTTTACCTCAAATTCACCCAAGTATCAGTCAAACCAGTGTAGTTAAAGTTAGAATAAGCTGAGCTTCTGTGGAAAGGAGAAAAAAAAAAAAATGCATAACTACTATCTCTCTTCAACATTGTCAGATATTGTTAAGTCAAGGAAAGACCAAACACTCAAGATACGCTAAGAAAAGTAAACATCCTCCAGCAAAACTTTTATTTTCAAGAACACAGTTATGCTTCTTTTAATTTTCTATGCTGTATATAATAAGCCACCTCAAAACTTACTGGCTGGAAAAAACCAACCATTTTACTTGTTCATAAGTCTGGACTGGGCTCAGCTAGGCAGTTTTCTGCTCCTCTCGTGCTCATTCATACAACTGCTTTTAGCTGGCAGGTAGGAACTGGGTTCAGCTGGAAAAACTAGGATGGCTAAATTTCTTTTTATGTAATCTCAGGATCTCTCTCCCTCTTCATGGGGCCTCTTCTCCATATGGTCTCTTTAAGAAAATAGCCAGATCTCTTACATAATGGTCCAAATCTCTGAAAATCACAGAAACAAAAACTACCCAGGCCAACACAAGGCTTACCCAAGACCTGAAATAGCTTTAACTTTATTGTATTCTATTTGTTAAAGTAAACTGCCGGCCCAGTCTAGATTGAAAGGCCTTCACAAGGGCATGAGTATTCAGAAATACGGTTCACTGGAACCACCATCAATGCAATAGACTACTGAAATATTAAGGCCAGTATTCAGATGACTAGTATAAAAGCAACAAGAAACTATAAAATAGTTAAAGCTAAATGAAAACTGGGCAATTATAGTCAGATTCCATCCTGTGTTCTTTACCATACTAAGGGTCAATCTAGGTCCATTGGGGATCTTAATTATAGGTGGAAGGAAAAAAATGAACCTGATTAACCATACAAGCCATATGACATTGGAAAGATTAATCATTCTCTAAAGCCTCAGTTTTCAATTGTAAAATGGAAAACTGTACGCTCATCTTAAAGGACTACTGTGTAGAACAAATAAGACAAGAAATGAAAAAGAGTTTTGAAAGCTAAATTGTTATACAAATCTAAGGAGCTATTATTTAACAGGATCCTAAGGATAGTCAACCTAGCTAAGCTCCACTCTAATAATAAAATTATAATAATCATAGTTAATTATACAAATGCAAAATTATTACCACATTATATGTAATAATGACCTAAATTATATTGTTTTGTTAATATGAAGAATAATAACACTAATGCTATGATTTATTATTGTCTAATTATATGTCAAGTGCTGCTTGATACTTCAGGTAAACTGTAACTCTTAAAGTAACTCAACAAGATAGGTATTATCCCTCTGACAAATGAACTGAGTCAAGGAATTGAGTACTTTAAGTTACATGCTCATGGTCACACAGTTAATGAGTAGGAAATCTGCTAGTAATGCCTAATGTATATTAGGTAATTGAGAAATATTTGTTGTCCAAAGAAGAAATAAAGCCAGTGACTATCTGGCTTGAAAGTAAGGGCAGTTTCAAATATATCAAAGTATCTCTTACTCACACTCCGTATTTGTATATGCAGTTATTAAAACTATCTCAGCAAATATATTTAATTAATGAGCAATTCATCATCTGTAAGATGGTTTCCCATCTGAAAGGTACCTTTATTTTTTTAAACATCTAATCTTTAATCTATCTAATGAGCCATTATGAGTAAATAATGATAAAATTATAATGTAGGATACTGATTGGGAGAGAAAGTGATGCATTTACATACCAAACATCTCTAAAACAAAACAAAAAAAAGAAAACATTAAATGGCAAAATACATGCAGTATGAATGACAAAAGCTCATATTCTTATACACTGAAGTGATCTGGAAAGTTAAAACAAGGAAGAAGAGGAAGAAAAGAAGAAACTGCTCAACAGGGAAATTAATGAATGACAGAAACAAGAAATTATAAAATAGCTAAGGCTAAATAAAAAATGGGCAATTACAGTCAGATTCCATCCTGTGTTCCTGAAGACATAAATGGGCACTCAACAAGAGATATATAAATGCCTAATAAATATACTTTAAAAATTATTATTATTTCAAATAAATGCAAATCCAAATGAGTTTTTTAAAACTATCAGATTGGCAATTTTTTTTTTAATTATAAAGATTGATCATATCCAGTGTCAGAGAGCATGTGAAGACACAAAACATTAAAGCACTGTTTTGGAAAGTATAAAATGTCATGACCTTTCCAGAAAGCAATCTGGTAGTTGATATAAAAAAAAAAAAAAATGCCACTAAAACTGTACCTGGCCTTCTAACTCATCAATTCCATTCGTAAAAATTCATATAAAGAACATAACTGGACAGCTGCACAAATACGCACATATAGTAATTAATCATAATACCAAAACATAGATACATTGATACATTCATACTGAGACATTCAACAAAGCCAACAAAAAGAAATGAAACACTGTTACAGTGAAAAGACGTCCTAGATAGGAGTGTTAAAGAAATAAATCATACGATCTAATTTTTATGACACTACATTTTTGAGTTTTGGGGAGAGAAAGTGAACATGTGTTGGCAAAAGCAGCAGCACCAAAGTATGCATGTACTCACTGAGAGACAAATTCTGAACAGATATGACAGCGATGTTCTAAGCAGATGTGTAGTAATCTTTAAGCAGAATATTTTGTTACTTTCTTTTTTGTATGTTTCTTTATTTTCTGATTGTTTTACACTGTGCAGATATCATTGATATACTCATAGTACAACAAAGTTATTTTCCTTTAAATTATGTACAACTGTCATAAGCCAGAGGTTTACATACTTTCAAATGTTCTTACTTTTAATATAAAATACTGATTAAAAAGCAATTAAACTGAATACTGGCTGAAAAATTATTGCTCTTTCATATGACAAATTCAAAATCATAAATACTTCATACTTGTTTTTACTCACAAATTATTTAGAATTTATGTCACTTTAAAAAGCAAAGAACAGGGCCTCCCCTTGTTGCACAGCAGTTGAGTGCTGGGCTGTGAAGCTGCCCACAGCATCTGCAGTGCCGGTTTGATCCCCAGTCGCCGGGCGTGGGTCACACATGGCGCCCAGACCTCTCCTGCTGCCCGCTGCTCCCCTCTGCAGTGTATTTCGTCAGTCTGCCTGTTCTGTTCCCCACTCTGGCTCTGGTGAATTCTCTCACCCTCCCGCGCTTCTGACTGTACCCAGTGCTTGTATAAATAAATAAATAAATAAATCTTTAAAAAAAATAAAAAAACAAAGAACAAATGTTTATTATAGAATATACTGGGCATAAGTGCAGTGCATTATTATCTTCGAGAAATAATTTCCATTTGTACAGTCCTCGAGCCCTTGATGCTATAGCTCAAAAAAAATCCAGCATCACTTGGCATGTTAACTTGGGAGCTTATTAACTTATGCTTGTTATTTACACATTATAATGAGAATTCTCAATTAACCATGGGTAAGATTATCCACAAATGATACTGTTTTTCAGCTTAGCCACTACACCCTGAGTATAAGCAGTTATTTGCTTTGAGATCTCTCAGCATTATTTACCTTGAATAAAGCCAGTGCTTTAGCAACAGGAATGTTTAAAATCATATATTCAACTTAAACAGTAAATGGGGGTTGGGCAGCTTCTATCCTGAGGACTGAGAGTTTAACTATCATCCAGATATACTATTGTGTCCCCTACCTGGGCCATTTTGATTGTCACAATGATTAGGGCAGGGAGTGGTTCTAACACTGTTTTAGTACACAGATGCTAAACCATGCTGCAACATGGGGTACTACGCCAAGAACTATACTATCTCACAATAGTGTCCCCCTTTGAGATAAGGGCTATCATTTTTTTGTTCAACGTTGTTTTTCTACCCTATTCCATAGTAGGCATTAAATATTTGTTGAATAAAATCAGAGCAAGCAATTTCTAACATTTAGTGAGATACAAATAATGTAAAATAATGAGTGACAAGACAGAAATTAGAGAGATTTCTACTTCAACTTCAAACAGGCCTTTGTGGTTAGGCTCCATTGTAATTATGGGAATCTATAATCAGATAAACCCTACAACTAAAATGTTAGAAAAGCATAACACTCTACACCCATGTTCAAATTATAAAAGGATTATCTCACAGTATAGATTTAGCCAGGTATATGCCTACTTCTGCTGGTAATGATCAGCAATCGGGTCAACTGAAGTCACACTCCTGATGCCAAATTAGCTCAATCTTGCCTTGGTGACTGGGTGACAAAATAGTCTTGTGGTTTAAGAGGTGGGCTCTGAACAAAGACTTTTGAGTTTAAACTTGGCTTTACCGTGCATTGCTGAGTAATTTACATAACATCTTAATATACCATTCCAACCTTGGCAATTAACATCATTTATCATGAGTTCTCACCTATAAAATGAGATCATGAAATAGGTTCACAAACTCCCTATGCTAACTAAAGCACCTAAACTAAATGCCACATCTCAGAATTTTTTTTTTTTTGAACTTTAAATAGTGGGAGGAAGGTGGGTGGGAGGGAGAGAGGGAAGGAGAAATATGATAAGTGGATCTAGTAATCAAATCATAATCACATACAATAACATTTCTGTAGCTAAATGAATGAATGTTCAAAGCATGTGATAAAGATCTGTAAGTTGCCTCAACTCAGCTCAGGTTTTGCAACTAAATTAGTTTTGCCCAACTTTGGGAACTTGGTGATTTTAAGAGCCTTTTGAAACTCACAAGTGAATATAAGGGATCATGACTCTAAAATACCTACTTCCCTCATAGACATAAATGTATACTGTATATATAAGTGCATATATTGTATATATAAGTATGTGTATATTAAAGATACTGCAGTGCATGACATACAGGTAGCACTTAGCAAAGTTTATTGTTATAAAAATTTAGCTAGTTATTAAGTGAAATACAACACTATGCAAGATCGCTAAAGGAGTCAGATGCCTTGCACTAGCTGTAGGAGGAGTGGC